TAACCCCCCACTCCAAAAAATACTACAAGGAATCCTAAAGCCAGAACCTCAGAGGGACGAATAACAACAAAAGAAGGCCAAAAAAAAAAGTTATTAAAAGAATAAATAAATAAAATCAAAGGAAAGACAAACACAATGGCAAATACAGATGCTAACATATCAATATTAACTCTAAATGTAAATGGACTAAACTCTTCAATAAAAAGACACAGAGTTGCAGCCTGGATTAAGAAACAAAACCCAACCTTTTGCTGTCTCCAGGAAACACATTTAGCTACAAAAGATAAAAATAGGCTCAAAGTTAAAGGATGGAAAACAATCCTACAAGCAAATGGACCAAAAAAGAAAGGAGCAACAGCTATACTTATATCAGATAAAACAGACTTCAAACTCAAAAAAATAAAAAGAGACCCCAATGGTCATTACATTATGATCAAGGGGACAATATTTCAAGAAGAAATAACACTCATTAACATATACTCACCAAACAAAGGAGCACCAAAATATATCAGGCAACTGTTGTCCTCTCTGAAAACAGACATCAGAGAAAACACATACGTAGTGGGAGACTTCAACACACCACTATCAACAATGGATAGATCAATAAGACAAAAAATAAGTAAAGAAACTAAAGCTCTAAATAAGGACCTAGAGCATTTGGGCTTAACAGACATCTATAGAACACTAAACCCCCCAAAAAACGGAGTACACATTTTTCTCAAGTGCACACGGATCATTCTCCAGGATCGATCACATACTGGGGCACAAGACAAACATCAACAGATACACAAAGATTGAAATCATACCAACCATCTTTTCTGACAATGAAGGCATCAAACTAGAAATAAACCATAAAAGGAAGGCAAGAAACTTTCCTACCTCATGGAGATTAAAAACCACACTACTGGAAGACCACTGGACTAATGAGGAGATCAAAGAAGAAATTAAAAAATTCTTTGAATTGAATGACAAGGAGGAAACCAATATCCTAAATGTATGGGATGCAGCAAAAGCAGTAATAAGAGGAAAATATATAGCAATAGAAGCTCACATCAAGAAACAAGAAAGAACTCAAAGAAACAACCTAATCTCGAAGCTCAAAGATCTAGAAAAAGAACAACAAAAAACCCCAAAACCAGTAGAAGAAAAGAAATAATAAAAACCAAAGCAGAAATAAATGAAATTGAAACTAAAAATACAATCCAAAAGATCAATGAAACCAAGAGCTGGTTCTTTGAAAAAATCAATAAATAGACAAACCCCTAGCCAGGCTCACAAAGGAAAAAAGGGAGAAAGCACAAATAAACAGGATCACAAATGAAAGAGGAGAAATCACAACGGACACAGCAGAAATCAAAAGAATAATCAGTAACTACTATGAACAGTTATATGGAAACAAGTTCAACAATCTAGAGGAGATGGACAAATTCCTACAACTCTACAATCACCCAAAGCTAGATAAAGAAGAAATAGAACACCTAAACAGACCAATTACAAGCAGCGAAATTGAAATGTTAATCAAAAACCTCCCCAAAAACAAAAGCCCAGGACCTGATGGATTTACAAATGAATTCTACCAAACATTCAGAGACGAATTAGTGCCTATCCTTCACAAACTCTTCCAAAAAATTGAGAAGGAAGGGACAATACCAAACACGTTCTATGAAGCCAACATTACACTAATACCAAAACCGAACAAGGACAACACAAAAAAGGAAAACTACAGGCCAATCTCCCTAATGAACACTGATGCAAAAATCCTCAATAAAATTTTAGCTATCAGAATCCAACAATGTATCCATAAGATAATTCACCACGACCAAGTAGGATTCATTCCAGGGACACAAGGATGGTTTAACATCCGAAAATCAATCAACGTTATCCAACACATCAACAAAAAGAAATGTAAAAAACATATGATAAATCCAGTCAAAAAATGGGCAGAAGAGCTAAAAAGAAACTTCTCTGAAGAGGAAATGCAAATGGCCAACAGACATATGAAAAAATGTTCAACATCACTTGTAATCAGGGAAATGCAAATCAAAACTACCATGAGATACCATCTCACACCAGTGAGAATTGCACATATTAAAAAAACTAGCAACAACAAATGTTGGCGAGGTTGTGGAGAAAAAGGAACTCTTCTGCACTGTTGGTGGGAGTGCAAACTGGTCCAACCACTGTGGAGAGCTGTGTGGAGATTTCTGGACCTACTAAACATAGAGCTTCCATATGATCCAGCAATTCCACTCCTAGGTATTTACCCAAAGGACACAGAAACATCAATTCCAAAGAACACCTGCACCCCTATGTTTATAGCAGCACTGTTTACAATAGCTAAGCTTTGGAAACAACCCAAGTGCCCAAAAATAGATGACTGGATCAAGAAGATGTGGTACATATATACCATGGAATATTACTCAGCATTCAAAAAAGATAAACACATGCAATTTGCAGCAACATGGATGGCACTGGAAGGGATCATGCTCAGCGAAATAAGCCAAAAAGAAAAAGAAAAATACCGGATGGTCTCACTCATAGCAGGAATCTAGAAACTTAAATAAGGGACCAGGAAAACGAATAACTATAAGAAAGTGAAAATCTAAATCAACAAAAAACTATGAACCAGAGACACTTTTAGGGGGCGGGGGTGGGAGGGGAGGGATTGTGGTCAGAATGGGGGGGCTGCAATTGCATGGGGAATATAAAAATAAAATTTATTATTAAAAAAAATCATATGATAATATCAATAGATGCTGAGAATGCTTTTGACAAAGTGCAACACCCATTCATGATAAAAGCCCTTGAAATTCTTGGGATACAAGGAACATACCTCAACATCATAAAGGCCATCTATGACAAGCCAACAGCCAGTATCATTCTCAATGGTGAAAAGCTGAAAGCAATTCCATTAAGATCTGGAACAAGACAAGTATGTCCACTCTCACCACTGCTTTTCAATATAATACTGGAAGTCCTAGCCAGAGCAATAAGACAAGAGAAAGACATCCAAGGAATCCAAATAGGAAAAGAAGGAGTCAAACTATCACTATTTGCAGATGATATGATAATATATGTAGAGAACCCCAAAAATTCCACAGAAAAACTAATTCAACTCATCAATCAGTTCAGTAAAGTGGCAGGATACAAAATCAACACGCAAAAGTCAGTAGCCTTCCTATACACAAACAATAAATCTGAAGAAGAAGAAATCAAAAACCATCCCTTTTATTATTGAAACAAAAAAAATCAAATATTTGGGATTAAATCTAACAAAAGAGGTAAAGGACCTATACAAAGAAAACTATAAAACACTGTTAAAAGAAATAGAAGAAGACACAAAGAAATGGAAAGACATCCCCTGCTCATGGATTGGAAGAATAAACATTATTAAAATGGCCATCCTACCAAAAGCAATATACAGATTCAATGCTATTCCAATCAAAATTTCAATGTCATTCTTCAAAGAAATAGAACAATTATTGATGAAATTCATATGGAATCACAAAAAACCCCGAATAGTCGAAGCTCTCCTGAAAAAAAAAAAAGAAGGGAATGGAGGCATCACACTCCCAGACTTCAAACTCTACTACAAAGCCATAATCATCAAAACTGCATGGTATTGGAACAAGAACAGACATACAGACCAATGGAATCGAATAGAAAATCCAGAAATAAACCCACAGATCTATGGTCAACTAATCTTTGACAAAGGAGCAAAGACTATGCATTGGAGCAAAGAAAGTTTGTTCAATAAATGGTGCTGGGAAAACTGGGTCGCTACATGCAAAAGAATGAAGCTTGACCACTACCTCACACCATACACGAAAATCAACTCAAAATGGATTAAAGAACTAGACATAAGACCTGAAACCATAAAATATATAGAAGGAAATATAGGCAAAACACTACGTGATTTGCACATCAAAGACATCTTACAGACACATCACCCAAAGCAGTGATAGTGAAGGCAAAGATAAACAGCTGGGACTACATCAAATTAAAGAGATTCTGCACAGAAAAAGAGACAATAACAAAAACAAAGAGAAACCCCACCAACTGGGAGAACATTTTTGCACCCAACACTAATGATAAAGGACTGATCACAAAAATCTGCAAAGAGCTGATGAGACTCAAGAACAACAAAGAAAATAATCCAGTTAAAAAATGGGCAGAAGAGCTAAAAAGAAACTTCTCTGAAGAGGAAATGCAAATGGCCAACAGGCATATGAAAAAATGTTCAACATCACTTGTAATCAGGGAAATGCAAATCAAAACTACCATGAGATACCATCTTACACCAGTGAGAATGGCACATATTAAAAAAACTAGCAACAACAAATGTTGGCGAGGGTGTGGAGAAAAAGGAAATCTTCTGCACTGTTGGTGGGAGTGCAAACTGGTCCCACCACTATGGAGAGCTGTGTGGAGATTTCTGGACCTACTAAACATAGAGCTTCCATATGATCCAGCAATTCCACTCCTAGGTATCTACCCAAAGGACACAGAAACATCAATTCCAAAGACCACCTGCACCCCTATGTTTATAGCAGCACTGTTTACAATAGCTAAGCTTTGGAAACAACCCAAGTGCCCAAAAATAGATGACTGGATCAAGAAGATGTGGTACATATACACCATGGAATATTACTCAGCATTCAACAATGATAAACACATGCAATTTGCAGCAACATGGATGGCGCTGGAAGGGATCATGCTCAGCGAAATAAGCCAAAAAGAAAAAGAAAAATACCGGATGGTCTCACTCATAGAGGGAATCTAGGAAACTTAAATAAGGGACCAGGAAAATGAATAACTATAAGAAAGTGAAAATCAGAATCAACAAAAAACTATGAAACAGAGACACTTTTGGGGGGTGGGGGGCGGGAGGGGAGGGATTGGGATCAGAAAGGGGGGGTTGCAACTCTATGGGGAATATAAAAATAAAATTTATTATTAAAAAAAAATAAAAGCAAAAAAAAAAAAAAAAAAAGACCAACCTTGAAGAGGCATAGCTGTGCCAGGAAAGGTGTATCCACATGGATACAGCCAAGCAGCCAGCAGAGAGAATCCACACCTCAGGACAGTCCAGGTGACAGAGGAAGGAAGTGGGATTTCTTCTTCTGCCTTCGGTCATTCACAGTTAATACCCCACGCATCGGGATTGTTCCATCTGGCTCTTTCAGCAGCTGCTCAGAAAACCTGATCCCTGCTCTGTGTTGTGCTTTTCATCCAAAGAGTAAGGAAAGCCTGACATTCAGGTTGTGGAGCTGGTCAGTCTGACTTCTCATGAACGACCAGGGTGGTGGGAGGCTGAACCTTCTGAGGAAGTTGCTAGTCAGTTCTGTGAGGCAAGACCCATGCAGACCCAAGTAAAAGTGGTTAGCCAGAGAGACAAACTTGTGAACCATCCCTTGAAGAGGTACTGTGATAGCTGAGATAGTACCACCAGTTAAGGGAAAAGGGAACAAAGCACTAGAAAAATCCAATATGTTGCAGATGATATGTTTAATACAGCATGCAAAGAATTAAGCACAATGTTTACACACAGAACACAATAAATTATTGGTTATTCTTTTCTCTCACATTATTCAGCTAACATGGTTTAAAACTATCCCCTCTATGCCAGAGAAAATAGATTGAATAGAGAAGAGATAGATCCTCAGCAAAACCTTAAAAGATAAAGATAAATTTCTTTTTATTGTAAATTATATTACGATGCGTACTACTTGAGATAATCTATATCTATACTCTGTATTAGGATAGGTAGTCAGGGCTGAACACTAGCATAATAAACACTAGCAGATTGTATTTGAAATGTCTGTTGAATAAATGAATAAATAATCAAAGTTAATTTTTGGTAAGTCTAGAACTTTAAGGAGATTAGTGCTAGAAGAGATCTTAGCAAGTGGCTATTCCAAATTCCTCTTTTACAGAAAAACAATATTGAGTCTCATGAATGCAAAACTGTTTTCCTAAGGTTCAATAGTGAGCTAATGGGGAGGTTTTCAAGGATAATATATAATTATGTAATATCTGATCCCAATAACCATTGATCATCTCCTGTAGTGCAAAGGAATCTAATCTTGATAATAATACAAGCTGTCAACTTTTCTAGTACCCAGAATGTGTCAAGCTCTTTAACTTGCCTGAGGTGTTTACTCTCTATTAACACATAAGGAAACCAAGCTCTTAAGTGATGAAGTGCCTTACCCAGGAATTAAAAGGTAGAATCAGAAATCAAGCTTAAGTCTTGCCTTACCCAATGTTCTTACCTTCTATCACTGCACTACACTGCCTGCAGACCTTGGTGATGAATTTTCATTCTTTTCAGTCTTGCAAGATTCATGTAAAGGGAGGACATGGACGCCCCATCATGTATAACAAAATACATGGGCACCAGAGGGGATGCAAGAGGCGTGAGCTGTGGACCAGCAGAAAATTTAAAACCTAGATCCCCCTCCCTCCATCCTCTGAATTGGCCATTTTTTACAAGAAAAGGTCCCTTCTGGGAAAGACTCACTCAACTACAGATACTTTTCCAAGACATTCTTGGAGCCGAGACTAGCATATCCAATTTGGCAGCGCAAAGTGTGATTTTAATTAGGCCTTTTCCCTCTCAGGGCTGGGGCCTCTGTTGGCTGAACTTCATAAAGGAACCTGTGGGTGGCCAGTGCACAGGGAGCACAGAGGTGAGGAGCCTTCAGGACAAGCCTCCCAGAGGGGCCTGGCTGTCGTCTTGTGAAATTTCCCCTATTCCTTCTTCCTCCTAAAGTAATTGGAAATTGCTGCACCCAGGGAGAGACGTGGCCTCCCTCAGATAGGAGTGGGCTTTGGAGCTCTTGGAGCAGAGCCAGCTCATATCCAGGGCATTTGTTTTTCAGCCGCAGGGCCCCTGTGCGGATTAGTCACTCAGTCCAGACAGGTGTCCGTTTGGGGCCTGGAGAGACCGTTAGTGCCACTCCCCACACAAAACGTTCCTGTTCCCCCCACCCCCACCCCCGTTCATGTAACAATGTGGTCCTAACCTTGTCTCCAGGGGCCTGTCCAGTGATTTAAGGCTTTTGACTTCTGCACTGGAGAACAGTCCAGAGATATATCGTGGGCTGCCGACAATGTCTCTTCCATGCTGGAGAAAACCATGGCCGTGCAGCTGAGCTTGCGGGTGGGCCCAGCCACTCAGGAAGCTGGAGACTGGGAAGATGGAAACCAAGCTCCTCCCAAAAAACTGAGAGTGGAAAGAAAACTGCAGAGGTGACTCCTGCAAGTCCACCCTGGTTCATTATCCTCCTGAGAAAACTAGACCTTGACCTCGAGTTTCCAGAGAATATGAGTGCACTCTCTAAAATGCAAATCCACTTACATCATAGTTCTGCTTGAAAATACCCTAGTGGGCCCCAGTCCACGAAATGAACACCTTGGCCCTTCACTGAGCTCTCCTAGTGTTGTCCCCACTTTGCTTTCCTGCTCCCCTTGCTCTTGTAAGTACACCCCCCTACAGTTCCCAAACTAAATCATGCCCTTCAGGCTTGCATCCTTATTATTTCCTTGAGGCTTCTCCCTTCCTGTCAGCGCTTCCCCTCTCCCTCCATCCCAGGCCCCTTTTATACTTGGCTAAATTCTGTTCATGTTTCTTATGTCAAATGAAAAGTTACCTCCTCTGGAAAGACTGCCCTAAATATTCCTCCCCCACTCACTGGCAAGGCTGGGACATCCAATCATGTCCTTCCAGAACAAACTGCTTGGACATCTATGTTAACACTTACCATGCTTGTAATAACCTGTTTAATTTGCTCTCCCATATTAACTGTAAGTTCTGTGATGCTAAAGACCAGGTTTGGGTTTTGTTTATAATTATTTTCCAAGTTCAGTGTCAGGCATATTTTAAGCACTCAATAAATATTTGCCAAATTAATAAACGAGACCCCAGAGGGCATCCTGTTAAACCTTTAATGATCTTTGTCATTTCCTGGGGATTAAATACTTAAAACTTCGTTTGAAAACCTGTGGAATCTGGAGGGTTGCTGCAGCATTTCACCATTAATTTACAAACAGCCAGCCAGAACTATTGGTAGTAAAGACTGAGTTTTTGCTAGATTTTTAAGAAACACTGAGTTTTAATAAAACTTTCAAATACTAATTTGAAGTATGGCCAGAGAAAGTGTAGGCCTGCAGCACAGTCCTGCCTGTGCCATTGCTCGGAGGAAAAGACAGGAGCACATTACCCTGTTGGGTTAATTTGTGTTTGTGATATACAGTAAAGGCCTCAGGCATAGGGAAATTGGTAGAGAAGAACCTATGCATATCCAAGGGATCATGAGACTCTGGTAAGAGGGGGCAGCTACATTTCTGTGTTTTCCCAAGAGGGAGAGCACTACGCAGAGCCTAGCAGATGTTTCAGCAAAGGTTAAGAACCAGAGAATATAAAAAAAAAAAATTATTTGTCTATTGATGCATCAAAATTTCTTGTTCAATGAATCATCATCTATTATAAATATGTGTGGCCTATTTTGCATTGCCTCTGTTGTTATGAACAAAAAAATATTTTCTACTTTATCAGAGTAACTAGAAAATTAAACACCATTGATGTTTATATAATGACCTGTAAGGCTAGACTCTAAGTTATACGTTAATACAGGAAACAGAAAAAGTAATAATTATGTAAATAATAATGGCTCTTTTATTGAGCCTTTAAAAATGGATCAGGAACTATGCTGGCCACTTTCAAAACTGTTGTCTCATTTGATACTCTCAATACCTCTATGAAACCTATCTTATTATTGCCTCCATTTAACCAATAGAGAAACTGAAAGCCAGAGAATTTAAAATACCCAGTTATACAGCTAGTAAGTGGTATAGTCTGATTGCATAATTGGTACTCTTGATCCTGAAGACATTAGTCATCTCGATTGTAAAAGTGAAGGATTTACACATACCTGGTCTGATTTGTGTTGCTTCTGGTAAAGGGTGCATATTATTCTACTTACAATGAGGGCGGATTCCCCGCCCAGTCTAGCAAAGCTTTGAGTTACTTCCCAACCTTCAATTGAGCAGTAACATGTAAGAGTAGAAAACAACAGATGAGCCCAGGCTGGGACACTGGCTCCATGAATGAACATTCTCTGGTAGCACTCAAGAGAAAAATTCTTTGAATGTCAATGAATAAGCAAACAAGTCAAGTGGTTTTAGAGTCCCAAAATTAGAAGTTGGACTTTAGGTTGTAGTCGTGGGTCATGAATCATGTAAAATTATAATTAACCCCTTGAAATGCATATGAGAAAATGTATCAAAATCAAAGCAAGATTTTGCTTTGTCTCATGGGGTGTTCTGAAGCAAATGAAAGAAGATCCACAAGGGATGTGAGGGAAGCCCTTTTTCTGACTCATGGAAGCTCTCTGTAAAACATTCCAGCAGAGAACTGCCTTCTAAGAAGCATTTCTGGTTTGAAAGTCTACTGTGTGCCGACTCTAAGACAAACAGAAGAGATGAGACTCTTAGAATCTACATTCACCTTTCCCTTTCCACGCCAACAACCAGACTGTTGTTCTAAAACATGAAGATGATGACATCATGTCATCCCTTCCACAAAATACACTGTGGCTTCCCATTATACTCATTGTCACAAATCCCCATTTAAATTAAGAGAGCTTCCTTTACCTCTCCAACAACACCTACCATGGTATACCATGAAGAAACTTGTCAACATTAGAGAAACTGAACAAAGGGTCCGGAAAAAGACAAAACTTGCAAGCTGACCATAGATCGGAGGCATGCAGCTGGGAGGTGGGGGAGGAGAGGTGTCAAAACAGGGAAGGGAAGAGTACAAGGGATGGTGGAGGTGGGTCATGGGAGATACAGTGGTGGGAGAACTAGGGGACTACACCTGAGGGAAGAAATCTAATATTGTCCAAAAATTAACAACAATGTAAGAAAATAAATATATTAATCACAAAAACAGAAATTTTTTGAAACAGTAAGATGTTAGGCTATCCTTTTGAGAATGGATATATTTTCAGCTTTTAAAGTGAAGTGTTCTAATATTTGATCTACTTTATTTTTCTTTCATTTGTTCTGATTGCTGGCTTATGCAGATGCTTTATGTCATTTTTCTTTCATAAGCAATTTTTTCTATTTTTTTATTTTTTATGTTTTAATTTCTTTAGTTCACTTTCACCAGTTGCCTTCCTCGACTTGCATAGTAGCTCTATATATTTCCACCAGTAGAGATGGCACTTCTGATACAGGTCTAGGTGGTGATTGTTTTATTCCCCTTCATTTCATTCCTGACCTTGTTATTTAGATAATTTATCTTATAGTTGTTATTGTTCCTTGAATCCCTGAATCTCTCATCTCTTTTTTTTTTTAATTATTATTGAGTATTGTTTGTCCTTTTTTTTTTTTTGTAAGGTTCTTTTTACCCTTTCTTCTTACATATATTTTCTAGAAGTTATGCTAATTTTTCTTGTATTACCATCATCTTTATACCTTCTTGTGGAAAGTTGGTAGGGTGGGAAAGAAGAGCCACTAGTAAGAGGGCTCACCAACTCCCAGTAGAACCCTGGCTAATATATAATATGTAATGTGTATGTGTGTGTTCAGGGGGCATGCACAAATGAAAGAACCAATTGCAGAAACATAAGGCTTATGTTTCTCTTTCTTGTTTTCAGTGGGTACTGTTTATTTTAAAAGAATGGTACCAGAAATACCTTCTTAAAAATTAAAATGTTTTCAAAGACCATTGTGGTTATATTCAACAAGTAGAGGGAAAGCAAGAGATGAGGGGAGCAAGCAGAAGGAGACTATTATAAAAGTGCATATAAAATATGATGGCTGATGGCATTGAAGACAGAAGAGAATGGAGGTGGAATTGGTAGGACCCGGTGATTGTTCCAGGCTCTGCCCTTAATCACCAGTGACCTTTTCAAAGAGTGAAGGTATGTTTTTCCATTAATTCCCAAGCACCCAGACCAGACTAGTCACCAAGTGAATAACAATACACATTTTAAACACAAATACTTATACATTAAGAGCTCAACAATAATAAAAAAAGATGAGAGATTTAGGGACTCAAGGAACAGTAACAACTATAAGATAAATTATCTAAACAACAAAGTCAGGAATGAAATGAAGGGGAATAAAACAATCACCACCTAGACCTGTATCAGAAGTGCCATCTCAACTGGTGGAAATATATAGAGTTACTATGTAAGCCAAGGAAGGCAACTGGTGAAAGTGAACTAGGGAAATTAAAACATAAATAAAAAAATTAGAGAAAATTGCTTATGAAAGAAAAATGACATAAAGCATATGCATAAGCCAGCAATCAGAACAAATGAAAGAAAAATAAAGTAGATCAAATATCTGAACACTTCACTTTGAAAGCTTAAAATATATCCATTCAATAACTAAAATCTTGTCCTGAATGAAATATTGTCTATTTTTTTCTTATACACTGCACAGGTTACATACAATAGGGTGAAGGGGGGAGGGTTGTGTTTGACTTTTTTCTGGGGGACTTCAGTGGAATATTTTATGTAGCAGTTTTTCTAATTCTCTAATAGCCCTTTAATGCTTGTGAGTAATGAATGTGAATTAGTCACTTCACTCTAAACATCTGTTTTCATAATTAAATGACAGCAATAATAATAACAGTAATAATAAATAACCACTACTAATACTACTAATAATGCTAATACTTATTTGATGGTGATTTCTTAGAATTAGCAAGTACATGTTCAGTGTGCCTCCCACTGGCCTGACATGGTCTCATGACTCCCTAAGAGAGCTGCCTATTACTCCTTCTCACTCTTTCCTGCAGAGGCTCCTCATACTCTTAGACTCTCATTTAGTCACTATCATAGTCATGCACACAGTGCTTTACAGTTACCTGTTTATGTGGTTGCACCCCTATTCCACCAGGGACCATGATATGTTAGCCTCCTGTCTA